CCTACAACAGAGGTCTGTGCCGCTTCTGCAATAAGAAAACGGGGGATTATTAGTGCGTGTGCCCAGGCTGGACAAGCAGTTACAGAAGGTCCAAAAAGCAAAAGACATGAGAAACAACCTGTGGAAAAGTTATTAAAGGCCCAGACTGTGGCCCCCCAACAAGCCAGTGGTGATGTGAAAGGCAGCGCAGGAGCCCATACTGAAGAAGGAGAAACAGAGTACTTACTTTTATCAAAAGTGAACTCTGTTCTGTGTGACGCCGGCGTTCCAACCACACCTCCGCCCTGATGAAAAGGACAAAAAGGTTCTGCTCAATCAGCTGCTGCAGCACCAGCACGGGAACCTCAGAACAGCTCAGGGGAACTGGCACAGACTCAGTCTTACACAGGAATTAAGTTGCCCTATCGCTACGCTGCATTGTCACTAGGAATTTAAACTGTTGAACCACCACAAATGCTTTCACTGCACTGGAGGTACAAGCCATTTTTCTGCTTCTGGGAACTCAGCTTTTCATCGAGAAGCCAGAAGAATTACAAAACCCAGGATACTGAAGGAGTAAATACATAAATTCAGGGACAATCTGATAGAAGGTGAGAAATATTGTTTCCTTTCCCACTGTACAGAATAACACAGCTGAAACTTCCATGTACCTAAAGATCACAGTATTTAAGAGCGGATACAAATTCTGAAAAGAGCAATGTATTGAATCCTGACACGAAATAGCTCTTTTCTAACAAACAGAACTTTTCTCCAAGAGAAGTAGGTACAAAACCTGTAAGTTTGGGAGGAAGAAGGGGAACAGTCCTGTTTTCCGTCTTGAATACATACAACTAGTCTGTGATCCCGGGATTCTTTTGCCTGCTGCTTAGCAAAGCTTTGCAGTGTTAAGGTGGAACTAGGCAACACTCAAGGAAACCAGCATTACCGACTTCTTCTTGACCTTGTCCCAGGTGCCTCTGCTGCCCTGTGTGTTCTTCTGCATGCGGAACATGTGCCTGTCGTAATCGTTCCTGCAGGTGTAATCAAGCACGTTAGCATCACTCCTGTGCCGCCTGCAGAATCCGTTGGATACGCGTAAAGGCATCATACATACAGCTCCAATTCAGAAAGAAAATCAGCATGGCCATTAAAAACTGTTGTTGGTCAATTAAATATAACAGCAGCTCTGGGAGTGTAACAACATTTTAATTAGATCACGTGCTGGAACTTCTAATGCAAGTGTCAGACAAAGCTTCACCATCTTCTCAGATGATGTTTATTTCTTGTCCATTAGATAAAACTCCAGTTACTCTGAAAATATCAAGATGATTCCAGTTTGTTTCAGTAAAGCCTGAAGCAATTGGGTTAATGGGTTCAAGACTGAAAATGAGCAGAGACACCTCTGCTGAGGCTGAAGCCCAAATCAGAGTAAAAGGCTGTGCAATCAGCATTGGTTTTGTAGCCCACATTTAGTTGAGTAGCCCAAACTGCACACACTGCTGAAGGAAAGAGCTTTCTTTAAAATCCCCCAAGGACTGCAGGATTTCCTATGCGTGCTCTAAGTCTGGAAGTAAACTGGTGGCCCAGTTCCACGAGTGATCTTTCAGAAGACAAAAAACAATCTTGGGGAAAAGGAGAAAGGCAAAGGTTAGCAGAGGGACAGCAGCAGAAGTTCCTACCTGTTGATGGGTACCAGCATGCCAGGGCTGATGTGCTCACACTGAGGGGTTTTCACCAGGGGGAAGACAGCTGAAGAAGGTGTGATCGGGTTGTCCGTAAGTGCAAAGTCGTCATCGTCATCTTGGCTTCCCCGGAACGTTGGCAACTACAAAGCCACAGCAGAGCAATCAGTGACCTGCCCTTTTTAACAAAAGTCTGCTGAAAAGGCTTCTCACGGGTCTGTCTCAGAGTGACGACAGGACACAGCCTCTCCACGACTCTGAACCTTGGCCGCATCCCTCTTCCCCAAAGGCAGGAGTCCCAGACTCCATTCTCTCCTCAATGGGCAGTCGCTCCGTTCCCTTCCTCACTTCAGTTGCAGTTTTGACTCCACTATGTCCCTCGTGAGACGCAGAGGCCAGCAATGCGCACAGTACACAGAATGCAGGTATGCAAGGACTCGGCGTGGCAGCCAAATGATGCCTCCATCTTGCTCTTAATACCCCTCCCCTTGGTGCCCAACGTTTTGCTGGCCTTTTTTGGCTACTACTACACATTCAAAAAAATAATTTCTGATTAAAATTACAAGCTGAAAGCTGACCATTATTACTCAGAAGGAAGATTTCAGGATTACTCAGTGAACTCCTGGTCCTTTCATTTTGAAGAGAGAGGAGAACTGGAAAGGTTCAGAGAGGAGCATCACAGATGATCAAAAGCACAGCAGGTCCTGGGGGGGAGAGCTATAACTCTCAGGGACCAGGACAGCCGTTCACTCTCTCTTCCCCATGAGGAGAGGACGACAAAGTCAGCAGATGCAAGTTCAGATCAAATAAAAGATTACACTTCTTCACACAGCAAACAATTTGGCTCTGGAACTTAGCACAAGAAACTGCAGATGTGAAGAGTCTGCATGGGTTCAAGGAAGAGGAACCCACTCATGACTCCTAAACACACAGAATTTCTCTCTGGAGGTGTATCTCTCGCCATGTGCTACAGAAGATTAATTTCTTTTGCACAGCATGAGCTGGGCAGAGTGAATTTGGGGGGGAAAAAAAAAAAAAAGGAGAACCCTTTTGAATCAGTGGCTGAAATTATATTCTACCAAAGGAGGACTCTCCTGGAGACTCCCTCTGCAAAAACAGGGTGTCTTGGACATGGACCCATCGATTCTTTCGCAGCCAATCCGCTCACACTAGCCATGGGGACTCTCCAGAGCACACTGCAGTTTACAGAAAGCAATGAAGTTACTGCTGCTTAAATGTTGACTTTCCAGTGAGCCCGGGTGTTACTCTACTCTGGACATGTGCCGGAGCACGGAACACGCTGTTGCCACAAAGCAAATCCACAAAAGAACAAACGTATCAAGAGCCATACAGGTGCCCTTTGGAGTCCCTGCTGGAACCCAGGCGCTGGCTTTAATAGGCAGAGCTAGCTTGGGCAGGTAACAGCAAAAAGAAAGATTCATCATGAAATACACTTCAAGAATTCTCTACAGGGGGAAAAAAGTAGTAATTATTATCTGAATAAATGAGTGGCTTTCTCATTAAAAATGAAGAGAGTCTTAACCAACACCTAAGGTGCATAGCTGGCTTCACCACAGCGCAGCGGAGGTTTATCACAGGGACGGGGTAATGCTCTCCAGCCCCAGTGCTGCACCTGCTGCGTGTGTCTGGGGCTGCCGCGGAGGGCGCTCCTCCTGCGCTGGCTGCTGCAAACCAGCCTCCCCAGGGAAATGGGGCAGCTCCTGCGCCCAAACAGGACAGCGAGTAAACAGGCAAGGGCCAGGGCGAGAGGGTAACAGAACCCCCAGAGACCCCCACCCAGAGAGAGCATCAAGAGACAAGTGGTTTTAAATGTGGAATGCGCCGAGTCCTGTGAAGTATGAGCATGACTTTAGTAAGTACCCGGTTCCACAGCACAGGGGTCCAACGGTCAGCCCCAGGACAGCGCTACCGCTGCACAACCAATGCTTCACAGCAGCAGAGTCCCTCCCACCCAGAGGCAGAAAGGACACCCCACCACAGACTGCTTTTACACAACCATTCAGGAGCGATCCTTGTCTGCAGAAGCCACCTTCCACGTGTTCTTGCTGCCGGGAATCTAAGTATTGCAATAACAAAATCAAGGAAATAAGCCTCTTCCCCCAAATCCACAAGGTTTTATTGATGGAACTGAACCAGAAGACTTGTAACACGCCCTTGAAATACCAACCAGAAAAGCATACACATAGATACAGTTTTCCCAGATTTACCTTTACTCTTCTGTTCTGAAAGGGTGTCGCAGTGAAAATATCGTCATGGTTGTCCTTCGGCAAATGGTCCAGGAAATCTCTCATCTGCTGCTTTCTTTTTAAGGTTCCCATTTTGGCAGTTATCGCAACCGACTCTTTGTTGCCTACATGAATCAAAATATTAGCTGTTCTAAGACACCGTTTATGTAGCATGGTTTAAAATTCACTAACTACAATCAATGCTGGTGATAGAGAATCCAATCTCTCCTTTACGGAAATGTCTTATAGCTTTTTGTGATCCTTTGAGCTCTTACACAATTTATGCTTTCAAAAAGAATTTCTCTACTGCACCTTGATCGGAAGCTTGCTCTAGAGCCTTACATAGCCATTGCAAGTGTTATACCTACAGCATCTATTTTATTATGACTTTAACAGAATTATCGCTGCATCTGCACTTCAGAGATGAAATACACTAAGATATATCACCCATGTCAAGAGGCATGAAGTGCTCAAAGCCTCTGCTGCACACAGACCAATTTAGCATCCTCAACGTGAGGTTTATGGAATGCTCATCTGAGACGTGAGCATGTACAGCTGTATCCTTTGCAAACCTTAATCCAGTTACCACACCTAAATGATAAGCCATTAAACCTACTGAGAGGAAAAAAAGGGCTTTGTCACTTCTGCTGGTGTGTGTATTCCTATCCTCTGCTTTCCATTATGAGTGAGTTTTGGGGCAAATTTAGAAGAACATCTTCCCAATATCCTCACCTTCAGACAAACACTGAATTAGCTGCTCATGCAGGCAGTCAAGTGGAGAAGAAAATTAATCCACAGTTCACAGATTATCAGAAGAACCAGGTAGTTCTGTATCTATGCTAAGATTCATCGTTAACAGGATACACTCGCCTGCTGAGAGAAGGCCAAGAAACAGCTCCTAACTGCCAAGAAAGATCCTTGCTAAGTATCACGCAGGACTGCATTTAGTCCTTTGCTTTGCTACAGTCATTTTAGAGTGTCTTAGCACTGAAAGGCCCAGGTGAGTCCGAGAGGTCCCAAACATTGCTTTTCTCAAAGCAAAACATCTGAAAACCACTGGGGCAGACCCACCCTTTACAAACGCTCAATAACCAGAACAACTGCGTCTTGCTAACAGAGGAGTCTGCAGTCCAAAGTCTGATAATGTCAAATGCCAGGGTGAAACAGGAAAAAATTCTCTGTAGGATATCAGCAGTAGAGAAATGAACAGCAACATTAGAAAAAGCTTTCATAGTCACAGAAGCGCAGGGAATTTTGATACCATGGTAACAGTCAAAATAAAATGGTTCCTATCTACGCTCCAAAATGCTCGAGAATACTACCACCACTATCAAAGCTCAATAAAATTCATTACAAAACTGATGCCCAGCATCACACAAATTCTGTAACTGCAACAAACATTTCAAAGAAACATTCAAGTAAAAATAAAGTGCGCTGTCCTGCGCTTGGACCCTCAATCTGCTGCTTTTCCAAGCCTGCACAAAAATCGCAGTTCACTGACTTTAAGGGCAGGGAAACCCAGAGGTCACCTGCTCTGTTCGGCGTTACGGAGGCTACAGAACTGGAGCCAAGCCTCCTCGCGTGAAGTCCAGTAACTATGAGTAACCTGCATCACCTCGTTTGAACAGAAAAAAATATTTTAATGCTTTCAGTAAATGGAAACTGATGCACAGCTTTAACCACTGGGAAACATCACCAGAGTGGTCTTTGCTCACAGCTGCGTAACACAGCTTCACCTTCCGATGACTGAGCGACGGCATCTCTCTCTCAGCCAGAGGAGCTGCTATCAGACGGCCTTCCTTACCTAAGCACTTACTGAAGCGTCATTGTAACCTCCTCTCCGTTAAATAACTGTTAAACAACTGGCTTGAGCATCCGGTGCCTTTCACTTCAGGGCGTACTTGCTGTCTGTAACCATGAATTACTGACTTCAGAACCGGACAGACAACAGCAACAGGCACCTCAGTGCCAGACATCACTTCCCTGTTCTTACTCCACACTGCCCTGAGCACATCCAAGCACCCTGTAGCCTTTTTGGCAGCTCTACAAGTAGCTCGTTATCTACCAGGCCTCCACGAGCCTCTTAAGATATAAACAGCTATTTCCCCTTAGGTGGCAAGGACAGTTTAAGTCTTCCCATCATGCCAAGAAAACCTAGAAGACTCCAAAACCATCCTTTCTTTTCTTGTTACTTCAGTCACTTATGACATGCTCCCAGCCCTGCAACAAGCCTTCACGCTATGGAAGACAGCTGCCCTCACTATCTGACTCCAGCGTGCGCTTATGTCTGTACCTCTCACTGCATATTAAATACTGAATTTGAAATTCTTTAAAGACAACAACATACCGAGAACCAAGATGTCAGTACCTTTCTGTTCTGCTTTCCCTGAAGCAGTGGTCTTCTTGGCATGCGTTTGGGAACTTTTTGCCTCTTGTTCTTCTACATACTTCTGATGGCATTCTTCAGCAGAGCGAGACCCTACCGCCATGGCCACCTCCACCCAGAAGCCATTCTTGTGCTTTGGAAAGGAAGCAACGGCCCTGCCGAGAAAGCAAAACCACAACCTTCGTCACGCCAAAGAATCTGCACAACGCTCCCAGAGACCAGCTGTCCTTCCAAGAAAGGACACTGTGCCTTGGATGTGGACAATCTTGTCTCTGGTGTCTTGTCCAGCCGCTTTAAACCATGCAAATTTATTTGAACAATTGCAGCTAACAGCTGTTACAAGAGAAATTTCGTCCTTATTTGCAGCAGGTCCCCCCAACCGCCCAAGACGTGAGCTGAGGCCTTTTCAGGTTTCTAATCTAAAAGAAACAAAACCAAACATGGTCAATTTGTTACTTAATATATGTATTAAATACTGCCCAGTAGTTTGTTTCAGTTTGTTGGACGATGCATTAATTAAACATTCTTGCAGTTAGTCTCCCCGTTACAAAATTTAAATACATAGCACGTCATGTTTAACATTTTATTCCATCAGAGGAGAGAATATGCTACCTCTGACTTGCTGTCTAAACCATAAATTTGAATAATTTTACCATATTATTTACCTACTTGTGTTTTTCATTGTTACTCATAGGTATGTTTATCACTTCTAGTAAGATTAAGTATGTGTTTTTGAAAAAACAAACTTTTGCCCAATATCTGTGTTCCTCTCACTTTACGCTGATGACAGCGGTAAGGGCTGCTGTAGACTTGCACGTCTACAGTTACTTTAGAAAATACTCAGCCGTCTCCTTTATTTCACTGGGTTTTAATTTGTTAACAAAATTTATTTTGTAAGAGGGAATTAAAACCTAAAGGAAACCTTTACATAATGTGAAAGAGACTGAATCTGAAAAATCCAGGCCACCCAACCCCCCCAGTATATCATGCCTCCCGATGTCCAAGAACATCTTTTCCCTGTGAAAACAGGGCAACCACTTGCCTGTGGAGCTTCTGTAATTCCTTTTCAGACCAACCATCAGTTGCGTGTGGAAAAAGTTCTAGAGATTTCCGCACCTTTTCCCTCTCAGGTTCTCTTGTTTCCGCTGCTGAACACTTGGCAGTATTAGAAACTTTAGTATTTGGGGGTTTATCAGATACTTTTGGATTCTTTTCTTTCACTCGAAATTCCTCTTCACTGGTTTCAGGCTCAGTGCCAGATTCAAACAAAGACCTTGGAGGGTCGATGCTGCTTCTTGTCCTCCTTGCCTTATCAGGCAAATGGGAAGTATTGGAGTCACTAGCAGGTGTTTTTCCTTCAAGTAAATCGGAACCATCACTGGATCCAGGCACACTTTGCCTCAACGGCACGTTACGGGAGGCAGTAGAGTGTTTTACTGTCCTTTGTTCACCCGGTACCTTGTTTGCATCATCCTGTGAACTTTTACAGTTCGAGGAAGATTTAGAGTTTTGAGTCTCTTTTTTAGATAAATGTTTAGTTTTCCTTTTGATACAGAGTGGGATATCTTCACTGGATTCCTCTTCCTCATCCTTGCTTGATGGCTCTTCTGTTAATTGCTTGTCTTGAAGTTGTTTGCCTGACCTTAAAGAGTACTTGTAAACCTGCTGATACATATTCAGTTCTCCATATTCTGTTCCTCTCTTTTCATTTGACTTTCCTGGGATTCTGCTATTATAGTTGTTTTTGTTTAGTACATCAGTATTTAAGGGAGTCTGCTTAACAGAAAGCTGTCTTTTAATTTTTGTACTATCAACTGCACGATCACTTTCCTCGTCATCTGAAAGGAAGCGCCTGGCCTCCCTGCTTCCAGCGGATTTGGTTGCTCTTTTGGAACTTACTCCTTTTTCATTGTTTTCCCCTGAAAGAGAGGATGTCAGTATGATATCACACATTGTAATGTCCATCATTGCTGTGTTCTCAGACAAGCAAAGACTAGCCTGCTGTGGGGTGCAATGCATCCCACGCTCGTTAAGATCGGTGAACTCCTTTCTGTTACAGAGGCTGTAGTCTGTAGGAAGAGACGAGCAGCCCCCCTCCAGCACGCAGCCCCCCACCCTCTGCAGAACCCTCTCCCCACACTGACAGAACACCAGAGTTCTTCAGGACAAGGAGATGATCTATTGAATGGTCATGCTGAGATACAAAAATGAATTAAACACTGCTGCCCTACAAAACACAGCAAAATGTCACTTTGAAATTGGTGATGCTAGGAAACGTTTCATCACGCTCCATACTGCCCACCCTTCCCCATTTAAGAGACATGTAGCACCGGTTATCTGCAACCCATTTCCAAAGATTTACCTGGCACATAACTATAAACTCATTTCTGCTGTTAAGGGATGTCCACAACTTAACCAAACGTGACTGAGTAAAACCAGCACCTAGCAAAGCTTCCCGAGATCGCTACACCTCCTTTCCCACACACGTATCTCAGAAGTAAAGGCCTTCTGCCCTCCCACATACACTCCTATGTATTCAGGATTCAGTTCTTCAGGAACAAGAGGCTACGTGACACAGACACGTCAGCATGTCCCAGCAGGCAGGCCACTCCTCTGCATGGCAGTCAAGAAGCAGAGAAAATCCATTCACACATGACTTTTACAGAGAAGATAGCACGAAACCAGCTGTAAGCACTGGATTCATTCTGAGCAAGTGTCCCTCCGCTCCGAGGGAACGCGGCCAGCAGCAGGGGGCTCCTTGCCTACAGGGGATGTCCCATTACTGCCCAGTTCACCCCCATGAGAGGCTGCCTCCAGATGACTAAAACAATTAGGATTATCAAGACTATAAAAGGCAACATGCAAGTATCAAGCAGATAGAGACTAAAACAGTAAACTAAGTGTTGCTAAAATGCTCTGACTGAGACAGAGCAAACACTAACATCCCAAAAGCTTTACTTGTGCTGCAAACAGCTTTTGTGCAGGAAACATTACAGATGCTTTAAAAAAGAAACTTCTGCTTTATATTCTACATTGTTTTCAGGATTCTATTGTGTCCCAAATTTTATTAAAAATAGAGGTTTTAATACTCTGTTAATATACTTTTTTTTCCTAAGTAGGCATTTCATTTATTTTCATTCATCCAGCTGAAAAAGTAAAGCCAGACCACCAGTTCATTGGACTGGTGAACTCCGCTTCTCTTCAGGCTCTCTCAAGTCACATATAATGACTATGTTGAGACATCCAAAATACAGGAGCAGAAACTTCAAAAAAGTCATAAGCCTTTCATTTCCATTTCTGGAAAGAAACCTGCATGTTCCCATTCTGTAAATAAAGTGATTTACAAATGTAGTTTATATTCAGAGCTGGAGAACTAGCTACTCCCGTAATTCTTCACAGAAGCAGCAATTGACTGTAAAAAGATTTTAATTTCTTTACATTATCAGGTCATCACCATACTGCTCCAGCACCCAACTCATAATCCCACTGGTTATAGTTGATAACAAAAGAAAAAAAAAAAATCATTTTTTACCATTACTTTGGCTTTTTGGTGTTTCTTCTGTTGTCTTCATTTCTTCCTTTCTTTTCTTCTTAGAGATGGAACTGGTCTGTCTTTGAGATTTTTCACTACTAAACATCTTCAAAATAAAACAATTTAATCTAAACTTCTGCAAGAGATTACATATCAAACCTAACGACGCCAGCTCTGAAAAAGCCAAATGTTTACAGGATGGGTAGATTTAGAAGTCACCTACATTGAAGAGTATCTACTAAATACTACTTGATGAACACAGGTGTTTGTACAAATGCATGCAACTGAAACAACATAGCCAGGTGCCCTTTAAATTTAAATATTCTAAAATACAAGTTAAAAATCTTACGACCTAGAACTGCTCGAGCTGGTGGTAAACTGGACGTACCTCTTCAGGGCTGCAGATGATGACTAGCGTTACTACACCCCCTACTCCACAGGGCTGACTAATCTCAGAGAGATGTAAAAAAAAAAACACAACAAACTCACAGCTACCACAGAGAATGCTGTTTTCCTTCACTTGTTATCAGAATATTATCAGAGCTGCTTAGTGGCATAACAAATAAGAACAGCACACCTCAATCAAAACTGGGATGACCTGGACAGATGAGGGTGCAAGAAATGAGGAAATACCTGGTCCTAACAAGTGTGAAGCCCTACACAGGAAGGGGAGAGCACAGAAGAGTACGGCTGCACACAAAAGCTCACCTGCAGCACGGGCACCCCTCGTGCGATTAAATGCTGTGGCACTGACTCAGTGTTACAATATTACACAAAAATGTTTTACTTAGGAACCTCTGTGACCCAAACCAGTACCTGTGTGCAACTTCCTATTTGACGTCTTTATCTTTCAAAAAAACCACTTATTTTTCCAGAAATAATTCCCCATTATGCCCATTTTACAGACAACAGCAGTTACTCGATAATACAGAGATTAAGACTATTTTTTTGCTTGTTCTAATTTTTTTTTATAATGTCTTCAAGATTTCCTGCCTCTTCAAGTACTTACAAGAGCTGCAGTGTTTCTGTTAGCTACCTAAACAAGTTTATTAATTGTATTTAAGATACGTTTAAGTAACAATATGCAAAAGAATCTTACCACGCTCAGATAATCTATTCCACCTTTTTCTATAGTAACATTTAGTTGCTGATCAACCAACTCACGTTGCCCACACCAGAAACTTAACGGTGGTTTAACAAGACGGCCACTACGAGTGTAAACTCCGTTTGAATTATTCAATACGGAATTGCGGTTTGGTGTTACATCTACAAGAAAAAACAGGAAATATAGTTTTGTCTCAAATACTGTATTTTATATAATATATGTATTTTATATAACATATATAATACATAAATACATGTATTGCCTGTATCAGGAATAGTGTGGTGAGCAGGACTAGGGAAGTGATCATCCCCCTGTACTCGGCACTGGTGAGGCCCCACCTCGAGTGCTGTGTTCAGTTTTGGGCCCCTCAGTACAAGAAGGACATTGAGGTGTTGGAGCGTGTCTGGAGAAGGGCAACAGAGCTGGTGAGGGGTCTGGAGCACAAGCCCTGTGAGGAACAACTGAGAGAACTGGGGGTGTTCAGCCTGGAGAAGAGGAGCTGAGGGGAGACCTTATCACCCTCTGCAACCACCTGAAAGGAGGGAGCAGAGAGGTGGGGGCTGAGCTCTTCTCCCTGGTGACAAGTGACAGGACGAGAGGAAATGGATTCAAGTTATGTCAGGGGAGGTTTAGATTGGATAGTAGGAAACATTTTTTCACTGAAAGACATTGGAAGAGGCTGCCCAGGGAGGGGGTGGATTCGCCATCCCTGGAAGCGTTTAAAAAAAAGGGTAGAGGTGGTGCTGAGGGACATAGTTTAGAGGTGGTTTTGTCAGGGTAGGGTGATGGTTGGACTCAATGATCTTAAAGGTCCCTTCCAACCTCAGCAATTCTATGATTCTATTGAAAATTCAGTTTTGCAGACTTCACAAGCATAGAAGCGATATCGCATTTACACCAGCTCATTTGCACTGACTACATGGAAAATACAAAGTTCAGTGCAATGTTATGTTGTTCTTTTAAAAGCATTCAGGTTAGAAATAAACATACCTTAACATGATTGAAGTAATAGTCTTCACAAATTATAAAATCTACAGGTGTGAGCTTTTTATTTTTACTTTGTTTAGAAGGTTATAAATACTGTAAAAGGCATATAGGGAAGTAGAATGATAAAGAAAACCTGTCACACTGGACAAATCCAAGCTAATGAGAGAAAAAAATAAAACAGCTTTTATAGCATTCATTAAAAAAAATCTGGTTACAGGATTAACAAGTAGCACAATGCAATTTGGCCAAAGCCCTATTGGAACCTACGACAAGATATTAAAAATAAGTCAAAGTTAAAAGCCAAAGGTATTTGTGTCCCTAACAAAGCTAGGATTGCATTACAGGGCAAAGAAAAAACAGGTGGATTGATAGGTTATGGCTTTACAACCGTTTCCTTTGGAAACAGGGCCAACATAATGAATTTTTCCACAATCCATTCCATCCGTCTCCAGTTGTTATCTCTATGCCTCAAGTGTGGCAAAATCACTAAGATGCCATAAAATAAACCTGCTCAAGGACTTGACATGAGTTATAACTAACCCAGCTACCACAGCGGGTGGGCACTGCGGGGAAAGCGTCCCAAAGATGAAGCCTTGGATAGAGGTATTAAATCCCACAAGGACTAAGAAGAGAGTATGTTAGGAAAAAGAGCAACTAGAGAAAAATTAAGTTAAGTCTGTTGACAGAATAACCAGCTCTGGAGCCAATGCCTTCAGCTCCTACAGACCAAACCAGACTCCTGCTTCTTCCCCAGGGTTAGCCCTCAGGACAGCCCCCGAGCACTTCTTGTAGCTGTTGTACATCAGCAAACCAGAAATAAAGAAAAACCTCAATGCTCTTGATTGTTGCAGTCTAAGTGAATACAAACAAAGAACTTCACCCAACTAGTTTGCTGCCTCTTCCATACAGCCTAATTAATGAGATAAAAAGGTATCTAATATCGATCTGGTTTGTATGGGGAAAATAGCTCTCCAAAAAAAAACCAAAAACCCCAACTTTTTTTCAACAGAAAAGGATTATTAAATACTTACAATTGTTTCCATCACTATTCGGTAGTACTTCATAGGTGGTGTTTCTGGTTTCAGGTTTCTTTACATCTCTTGCTGAGTCTTCTGCATTTTTCAACACATCTGTACCCACCACTGGGTCACTGTCTTCATTTTCATCCTCACCAGTATTTTGTTTTCGTTCTTTCCTAATGATTTGGAGTTTAAGAAAAGAAGTAGTAAACTTAAGAAAAAGTTGTCCTTTAACAACACATTAACTTACATAAACAACATCAGTGATGCCCAAAGCCGGCAACCAGTGTTTGCCTGAAACACAGTCTTCAGGCACACACCTACAACCTTTTATACTCCTATAGTATAGTACCCTTAAAAAGCAAAATCTCAATAAGAACATTGCAATGAAACAGAATCTCTGAAGAAATTACCTTCTTCTTTCCTCAAGAAACTCCTCAACATATTCCTTCCACCTTTTGGAAAACCCATATGTAAATCTTTTGATGAAACGGTAGGGAAATCCTGTTTGAAACAAAAGTAGCATTAACGATAGCTGAGCAATACTTTTAATCAGAAAGGGCAGAAATAATACCCAGTGCAATCATGGTTTTGTAAGGACCTCAGAAACTCACTACATCTTTAAACACTGGAGAGAGACAGGTTTCCCCAGTTTAAGAGAACAGCATACTTGATAGAAAAGTCAACCAAGGGGTCATTAATTACAGCTGTCAGTATCTGGAGACAGCAGTAGTTTCCTAGGAACCAGGAGCAGAAGCTTTCCCCCTTCCTACCATCCTGATGCAGCTTAGCAATGTAAGACCGCACCTGCTGCTTCCCAGGTCATGTTCTTTTCTACAAAATTTATGAATTTGCTCAACAGCCCACATCATTATGGGATTCTTTTTATTCCTCTCCTTTTCTATTGTTATTTAAAGCCACAGAAGCTCCTCTTCTGTATCACATAACTACTTTGCTTCCTTACAGTCTTCCCAAGAGCTTTTCTAGAAGCCCAAAGCCTGGGGGTCCCATCAAAGAAGTCTTACACCACTGTGAGGCATTACTTCATCTACAGTAGCACTGACCAAAATTACACAAAAGCAATCCTAGCAAAAAAAACCCCTAACAGTTTCTTTAAAAGAACATACTCATTAGCCAAGTTCACGCTCTGAAAGCCCTCTCTGTAACTGCAGCACCCTAAAAATGCCAGTTACAATTAACATTAGATAGTACTTAGAAATCTGACGCCAGAGTCACTTTCCAGCATGTGCTGGAATACCCACCGAGCCCAATTAGCAGGATCAGACAAAATGTTCGCTTCAGCAGTATGTTCAATCATAAATCTAAAGCCCTTCACAGTTTGTAACATTACATTAAGAATCATCTTCTTACCTTCTTTTCTCATCGAAGCTGAATCTATATTTCCCTGTAGCAAGTAGATACTGCCAGATGATGATCTAACTTGGTTGTGTGCTATGCATTCCACGATTGCATTACTATGCCAAAGCATACCTTCCATGTCTCTAAGAAAAGAGAGATAACATGAATAACAGAAATAAAACATTGTTTTCATAAAAGAAGGAATATAAAACTAGAATATTGATATTCCATATGAGACTGGCAGTGTTACGTATTTTATGCACGAGACAGACACTGGCAAAACGTGCTAGGTTTTCTTTTCTCAGCTTGGAAGAGAAACAGTTCTGGCCTTGTCTAAGACTCGGACAGGACAAAATGAACATGTCAACTACTGTAAACGTTAGTCACAGAACATGAGCTTGACATTAGGCTGCAGAAGCAAAATGGACTAAAGGACTCCATCCAGCTCATTATTGCAGTGATACCACTACGCAAGTTACAAAAGCACCATTATACAGGTCAAACGTCTATTTTCCCCAGGATTACTACGTAACATGCAGCCCCTGACATCTCTCAGGAAGCCTACTGAATTACTTCCTTGCACAGTGCTACTGCTGTTGAGTGAGGTTCTGAGTTTTCAGTAGGTAACTAACTGGGTCAGGTAGTTACTAACAACAGAAAGAGTAGAATACTCTTCTCCGAGGGTATACTGGTGCCTAAGGACATAGTTTAGTGGTAAATTGGCAGTGCTAGGTTAACAGTTCGACTTGATGATCTTAAAGGTCTCTTCCAACCAAAGTGATTCTATAATTTTCACAATGTCTTCAAACAACTTTATTGCAAGCTAAATCTCTTCTTTGTTCTGACACTTGTTCTCCTGATCTTACAGCCATTTGAATACAAACTGACTAAAAACATAACCAAAAAACCACAGAGTCAGTTTTCAGGTGGATCAGCTGCTGCAACGGTTTGCCGTATAGCTGTAGGACTCATAGTGCCATCCCAGATGACATGGCAGGAATATATGGCTGATGGCAGTCTGCAGCAAGTTTGACTGACAGTAGCCACAAAATAGAAGCTCATAAGACCCCCAGTCAGCACCAGGTTGGGGGGAATCTACTAGACAAACACATTTGTCTTTATTCCTTTTAAGCATTTTGATCGACTCGGGACCAGACTTTCAAATAACTATTTAACCAGTATTTTCCTGTAGGTAGGCACTCTACCTCTTGCACACATGAAGGAATTCACCTCTTCCTTGATAAAGAAGTTTAAACTACAACGTCACTTCGTTATTTACCAAAGGCTAAGAGTAAGTTCCATGAAGGTGCAGCCCTCCTGGCCACCTAAGCCAGGACACCATTCCTCAGCTGTGCAGTGCCTCATCCCCCATGGCCCAGCTCTGCCATTCTGCAGGCTCTGAAGCAAACGGGTTCAGCGTGCTCAGTCAGAGGCTAGATAACTCGGTTTAAAAAACCGATAGGACTTGTAAGCACTGTCCCAAGGGTCAGGACCCAAGCAAAGGGCAGTGTTCCCTGTGGCTGGGGACAAAAGCAGCAGAAGTGTGTGGCACTGCTTCCAACAGTTACCAAGCTATTCCAAGAATGCAAGTCTCAAAGCTACGGCTATTCAGCCAGGCGAAGATCGAAGATCGTATGGCCTCTCTAGCTCAGAGGCTGAAAGCCCACCAACATGTTTTACGTGCATTTAAATCAGAAAACTTCTCCTTACTTCCGTTTTCCTTCAACGCATATTGCAGTGTTACCATCCATCACTGTAATTCTCCAACTGGTTAGGCAGACATTTTTCTGGCACAAAAAGAAAAAGTCATTTTTAAATTAGACTAAGCTGTGCAACATCGCTATGGCATTAGCAAAATAGAAATTAACTCCTATATAACTTGAGAAGGTATTTACGCACCATCCTCCAGACCAGAAAAACTGAAAACAACCATTATACATATAAATGTTGAAGCACAATAAAGCTGGAGTCTAATGCACAAGTGAAGACAGGAATTTAAATTATAGAAACTTTGAGTAATTTAATGTTGACTTTCAGAAGACAAAGTTTTTGGATTTGCTAGAGGTCTTGGCCAATAAGCTCCTCATAAAAAATACGAATGCTATGCCATACCTCTCAGACTTTGTCATCTGTCCTTCATTACTGTTCAGAAAAAAAGTTATCCATCAAAAAATAAAATTGTATTTATTAGCTACATTATTGCTATAATTTAGACAGTATTAAAAAGGCTGTATCTGATATTGCAAACTACTGACATGCATACAGCTGCAGTACCTCCGTTTTGCATTCCATAGCCAGCAAGCCAGTTGCACTCGAGTGGCAGTTTGGAAAATTGTGTGTGAAACATCCAACTTTGTTTTAAAAAAAGTTTCTCAGAAAATTATTTTTTAACATCCGAAACCGTCACTGTTTCTCCTCACAACTTCAGTTGATAAACTCCAGATCTTTCCTTTCATGATGTTCGCCTTTTGACCATCAGCCTTGACTTCACTGAAGATCTCACCAGTGATTTAACCCTGACTGAAGAAAGGTACCTGACATGGACAGCCAGCACCTGCCCGATGCTCAGATCTGTAATGGGCCATAACAGCTCTTTCAGCATCTTCTACTCAGCTAAAAATCTTCAATATTAACAGATATCTGTTCCTTATCTAAATCAAAGCTCATCATAAAGGTAATTTTTTTTTTTTTTTTAATTACAGGAAAACATATCAAACATGCTTGACAATGGTGAGGGAGAACAAAACAATTCACTTGTTAAACTGGAAGAGGACTGCTGTCCCACAGATTTCTCCAGGGAACAAAGGAAACAACCCTCAGGAAGATATGCTTCCACTGGTTTCCTGGGCTTATCACTGAGCAATGCAGCACGCTTCAAAATACACCACTTTCCTTGAGATTTATTCATAAAGTTGTAAATATTGCTAAGCATGTATTAAATTGAAAATAGGATCTGGAGACTAGTCTCCCAGGAAAATATTCTTGTCCCACTTAATTCAAGAGAAGTTTGTATACTCTGTATGAGAGCCAAGAGTTTCACCTCCCCACCAGCTGTACAGATGCAGTTAACTTTAGAACCACCCCTAGCCTACAGCTAGGAAAGATCCTCCTCCTTGGCTTTGCACAGGCAGCCAGGAGCTGGACTGGTCTGTCATTTGTTTCATGTCCATCATGCCACCACATGGCAATTAACATATTAAAGAGCTGACACAGGAGGGTCCTTCAGGTAGAGGACTCTTCCAGGCCATACTGTGACTTGTGAATATGAAACCAAAAGGCCTTCCTTTCAACCAAAAAAAAACCCAACCAAACACACACTCCTCCCCCAAAAAAACAACCCACCCAAACCCTGAACATTGTCATCTTGGAGTACAGGAAAAAAAGAAATCCTTTTGATGAGAAGGCGTTTACCAGTACAATCTAATAAAATATTAGTTTGTTCTTTTCTGAGCGCTCATTACTTTTGACAAGAGAAAAAAAAAAAAAAAAATCACAACTGTGAGCAACAAGCAGCCCACAGGAATATATCACTTGCCCTAAAGTATTACGGAAGTTTTCCCACCTCCTTGTCTGCTTTGCCAGCAACTTTATCTGTGCGAGGTTTATCCAAAGGGACCTTACAGTTATTTTTCAGCTCTTGCTTCCTTGGAATGTGGACTTTGGGAGAAGAGAGCATAATACTACATAAGCACTGCGAAAGCTTTTGACAATTAGTCTCTACTGTCTTTTCCACTCCATGAGCAGCTTGTTTATTACTTGGCTGCAATTCTCTTCTGTCTTGATGAAGTTCAGTGTGTTTTGCTTCTCCATTTCTTGACTCTTCTTCTAACTGATGCCCATTTTTAAAAGGGAGGGGGCTTAAAATCACTGAACTAGTATTTTGAGACATTTCATCATCAGCATCCATTGATTCCACAAGGAAGTTATCCTGATCATCCTTATCAGTGGCCACATGCTCTGTAGGATCATTCCCGAGCTGCTCAGCAAAAGCAGATTCTACTAATGGCTTTTCTGTAGCTGTGGAAGGAGGAATGTTCTGCTTGATTGGGTTTGAAGGTGCTGGATCTGCCCATTAAAAAAAACCCAAACAAATTAGTGATATTTGAGAACTAATAAAAATACATTCATAAAGTTAGCTCCATTTTCAATAGGAAGAGGTTGTATTGGTTAGCATTACAATTGTGAAAGCTCTACCTATTTCAATTGTTAATGTTAACAGCAAGCCACTCCGAATTTGTTTGGACTAGGTTTTCCTCACCACCAGATCAATACCCCTACTCTTAAAGATTTACAAATGTCCCACTTTCCCCCAAAACCAAACTAATGCACGCCATATCTATTAATAGCATATGCTTACCATTCTTCGTATCTTTGCTTTAATGAATCCTCCTTGCAGAGGAAAAAAAATAAAAATAATCTGTTTTCATAAAACCCAACATCTCAAATATTTCCATCTTTCCAGACTTCAAGATCTGGACCTGTAGCCATGCTGGGAGCTACAAGCATTGGGGTTGGAGTTTTCAGATAAATTAAGTTCAGTCTTGAAGCTGAACACTACCAAGACTTTGGCATGCATTGTTTTCTTCATCTGCATTTTCAAAACTGAATTACAGGACAGAAGCATATATAGGGTTGCTATCAAGTAGCAATATGGAAAAAAACAAAAACAAATACAAGAGAATTTCTCACAAAACCAAACATTTTCTCCTCATTTATTAAAAGCCAAGGGAAAAAATATAAAAAAAAAGAGCCAGTAAATGAGAGGTTTAGGCTTTTTCCACCAAGTTTCACATTCCAATGGCAAAGTGTTACACCTGATCTCTAAAGAACTCTTAACTATATCAGAAGCCCGAAGGCAGATGGCTTTTGTTGCCAGAGGAGATAGTGCACTCAAATGGACTAATGATGTCAAGCTTCAAGGTCAGAAGCGCACAGCCCTAAAGCAGTTCAATCAAGTCTAATGCCATTTCCAGGTTTGAAAAGGCAGATTTGCATGTTTCTTTCTCCATTTTCCACTGCGTGCAGACTACAAAGAAAGAAGACTGATACTCTGCCAAAGCATGTGAGAGATTATAAACAAGAATAGAAACTCTGAAGTCAAGGAAATTTCTGAAGTGTATATAAGAGCAATACCACGTACCTTTTTGCTGCTGCTGCTGCAATTTCTGCTGCTGCAATTTCTGCTTTACACGCAAGAAGAACTTCTGAGGGGATTCCAGCACAAGAGGGTCTACAGCTAGTGCTTTCGTGGCTCGGTTCTTAGGAATCTCAGTGCAAACTAATTCTGGAAATTAAAAATACAAAAAAAACCCCTTTGAATTTGGGGGAGAAAACCATTTTCAAGCAGGAGACAGGAAAAGCAAGGTACATACTTCATAAGATACTAAACCCCTCTATACAACGTTTTCTTTTCTTTCCCAAGATGGATGGGCAATACGAGCTTTCCCTTTTCATCAGGGGGTTAGTGGTTATGTTGCCTCAGCTGTGTGTGAGAAACACCCTCAGGTGTGTCTATGCATGTCTTAATGTAACCCAGCCCGCAGGGATCAACAGGAGTTTGAAGGTGCCTACAAACGGGGTGTGTTTCACAGCAGTAAGGTCTAACAAGCAGCACCGACACTAACCCCTTTTGATATTCGATCAAAAGTCATTATCAATTTGTGATGTGATGATGCAAAGGCAAAAATATACCTTTTAGAAATCTGTTGTTAAAAAGGAAGGAAAATTTTAGAAGCTCTCACTTTTCATAAAAGACATAGAATCATAGAATAGTTTGGGTTGAAAGGGACCTTTAAAGTCCATCTAGTCCAACCCCCCTGCCATGAGCAAGGACATCCTCCACTAGACCAGGTTGCTCAAAGCCCCATCCAACCTGGCCTTGAACACCTCCAGATATAGGGCATCTACCACCTCTCTGGGAAACCTGGGCCAGGGTTTCACCACCTTCTCAGTGAAAAATTTCTTCCTTATATCTCATCTAAGTCTCCCCTCTTTCAGTTTAAAACCATTACCCTCTTCCTGTCACTATATTCCCTGATCCAGAGTCCCTCCCCAGCTCTCCTGGAGCCCCTTTAGGGACTGGAAGGGACTCTAAGGTCTCCCTGGAGCCTCCTCTTCTCCAGGCTGAATACCCCCAACCCTCTCAGCCTGTCCTCACAGCAGAGGGGCTCCAGCCCTCAGATCATCTTCATGGCCTCCTCTGGACTCACTCCAACAGGTCCACGTCTCTCCTGCGCTGAGACCCCAGAGCTGGGGATGCAGCCCAGGATGTAGGTGGCTGACTGGGCTGCCAATGCACATTGCCAGCTCATGTCCAGCTTTCCATCCACCAGTATATCCCCAAGTCCTTCTCGACAGGGCTACTCTCAATCCCTCCATCCCCCAGACTGTATGGATACCAGAGGTTGCCCTGACCCAGGTGCAGTACCTGGGCACTTGGCCCTGTTGAACCTCATGAGGTTCTCACAGGCCCACTTCTGAAGCCTGTCCAGGTCCCTCTGGGTGGCATCCCATCTCTCAGGCACGTCAACTGCACCATTCACCTTGGTGTCATCCATAAACTTGCTGAGGGTGCACTTGATCCCACCGTCCATGTCATTGATGAAGATATTGAACAGTACTGGTCCCAATACGGACCCCTGAGGGACACCACTTGTCACCAGTGTCCATCTGGACAATTCGATAACCCCCCAGTGAAAACAGCATGCAGCTGCCCATGCTACTGGCCAGATAAGACAGGCTGAACACTTATCCTGGTTTTATGCAATTATGTCTTAAAATGAACACAGACAAACCAGGTAGGTCTTAAGCCCCACCCAAAACTGGATTAGTACAGGAGATTCGTAAGTGCTGTACTTGGGACAGGAATACATGTAGCAACAAAGCATAACGTTTCTTATAAACCACCCGATATCTCAGTGGGTCTCCCACTCTGGGTGATCACAGCATGAGAATAACACGGCAACACCACAGGACA